GCAGAATGATTCTAAATAACAACGAAGATAGTGATTTTCTAAGCACAGATTAAATGCGGCCCGAGGCCGAAAGTATGGGGCACCCAGTGAGTATCGAACTCACTACTCGGTCGTATTTGTTCTTCCGAGACAAGCTTACTAACCATTATGCCACCTCGAAGTGCCCATTAACAACGAAGATAATTGTATCCCTAACTACCCGAGAGTGATAGCACATATCAATTATTACAAACCCAAATTGTAATTATTAAAATTAAATAATTAAATTGAAGCGCATAATATCAATTATAAGAAACTCATGTTTTTGAATTCATAAAATTAAAACGCATAATGGTAATTATAATTTACTTTTACGCTGTTTTAAAAATGTGTTAAATGCGTTGATCAATAAAATTAGAAGCCATTAAAAACAGTTCAATATTTGTCCTTTTACACTAGACGTTCCTCACGATGAACTCTCCTTGCGGTGTACTTTCCTTGCGGTGAACTTTTCTTATGCTGAACCTTCCTCGCGGTGAATTGATGGCGGTGAACTCTCTTGTGGTAATAAATGTCAGTGAAACTATCGAACACAGAACCAAAGTATTAATCAGGTGTTTTTCAATCCGGTACTTTTCAATGAATTTTGAAATTAATTCATTCTTCTAGGATAGATTGTTCTCATTCCACTCTCCATGTTTAGGGATATTGCGTCATTTTCGTATTTCGTACTGTTCAATGATTGCATGCATTGTTTCTACTGATACGCTTTAATCAATAAGGCTCCTAAATCTATATACCTAGCATGTTTGCTGGCGACATTGCAGATATTTCTCCGTGTTACACCAGACTGAATTAATTCAGGCTTCTCTTTTTGCATGGCTGCTACTGCTGTTCATACTTTTCTGTGATTTCTCTTTATTTATTAACGATTCCGATACTGACTTTTATTTGTACACTTGAACAGAAATAATTATATGAAAATCTAGAAGATTTCAATGGCAGAACATATAAAAAAAATGGATCAGAATAGATTATTTAGAATAAAATCAACATAATTCGAAATAACTAGGTAGGCACAAAAAATATATATATATATATATATATATATATATATATATATATATATATATATATATATATGTGTGTGTGTGTGTGTGTGTGTAAAAATATATAGAAAATAGGAAAGAACTCGTTAGGTAAATAATCCAAAGTTCTTTAGTATTTTTGTTGTTATTTTTATGGAACAGAGCTTGGTACTTTAATTCAATTTAATTCAAATAATTATATTGAAGTATTCGGGTCTTGTTTTGAAACATGAGAACTTTTATGTAGCGTTGGAATCATATTTTTAAATAAATAATTATATATATATGTGTGTGTGTGTGTGTGTGTGTGTGTGTGTGAGAGAGAGAGAGAGAGAGAGAGAGAGAGAGAAAAATTTCTAAGCGTTAACCTCTAGAAAAGGACAGTATTTATAAAAGCAAAAAATAATAGGAAAACTGTAATATTAGCCGACGCCTTCCTAATGAATTCATTTCGTTTTCGGCTTGAAAAGTCCACTTTGGACGAAAAGCGTTGGCTAAATATTACAGTTTTTATTTTTAACTTTTATATATATATATATATATATATATATATATGAAGAAAAATACACGGAAAAAACAAACAAAAATCCTAATATGCAATTATACTGTTTTAATGTTATATATATATATATGATCAATAAAAATATAAAATTTGTCTCTTCATGGATTGAAGTTATATTCAGCAGGCCGACTTCAGAGTTTCGGAGATGAACCTTGTTGTAATCGCTCGGTTCAAGATTAAACGAAACTCCTTTCATAAGTTTTCGTGGGCGTTTGGTCTTGATAGTTTTTCGCAATTGGAAAGGTTCTCTCCGTTGATGGTGAGGCCCATTTCAAATCAATAAATACAATGTCGTTTGCATCACAAAAAACAATAGATGAAACGACATTGACCTTCTTTAGAGCAAGTAAAGAGGAGTGTTTACACTGCATGAAACCAACACTCGTCGTGAGTTAGGAAACTTTCAAGGCAAACTAGCTGGATCTGCGTCAAACAATTGTTAGATTTTCAATGATAAGATTAGCCTGGTGCGCCTTTGATCAGGTGTCAGATGACGTGACACCCACCGATTTGAAATCTTTGTAATGTCTATATCATAGGGCAGAATATTTGCAACTTTCTCACGGGATATACTAATAGCATTGGCTATTTGATTTATAACCAATCGCATGTCATATGATGTTCATGATCAATATTTTTATCGGTGGTGGTATTTGCATGATGTCTATACCTTCGGACATCTTCAAGATTTTCTCCTCTCCTCTTAAATTCAGCTGACGACTTTTGCACTGTTGATAAAGCTGGAGTATTATCCCCTAATGTAGTAACCATGCCAGCATGAATGTACTTAGTGGATAAACCTTTCCATCAGTTACTTGATAACACCACAATTTTATTCATTTGTAAGAGAAGTCGTTACTAGTTACATTTGTAATTTTCTTTTACCATCCAGATGTCAGTTTAAATGTAAAATAAATAATGCTGTTATTAATGAAAAGTGTTAAATTAAAACATGCAAATTTCCACAGCTCTAACAACACTCCTTCATAATCAGCCTATGAAATTTTCAGCATATCCTCGTAAAGGGTCGTTTTAGCTTCATAATTCTCTATATAAAATAACGTTCATACTTGAATAATTCACTTGAGTATATAAATTTCTAGACTGTGTAAAGCTTATGGGACGATTTCAAGTGATTCAGATTACCTAGGTGTGGAAAGCTTATGGGACGATTTCAAGTGATTCAGATTACCTAGGTGTGGAAAACTTATGGGACGATTTCAAGTGATTCAGATTACCTAGGTGTGGAAAACTTATGGGACGATTTCAAGTGATTCAGATTACCTAGGTGCGGAAAACTTATGGGACGATTTCAAGTGATTCAGATTACCTAGGTGTGGAAAACTTATGGGACGATTTCAAGTGATTCAGATTACCTAGGTGCGGAAAACTTATGGGACGATTTCAAGTGATTCAGATTACCTAGGTGTGGAAAACTTATGGGACGATTTCAAGTTCAGATTACCTAGGTGTGGAAAACTTAGGGACGATTTCAAGTGATTCAGAAAGGTGTGGAAAACTTATGGGACGATTTCAAGTGATTCAGATTACCTAGGTGTGGAAAAACTTGGACGATTTCAAGTGATTCAGATTACCTAGGTGTGGAAAACTTATGGGACGATTTCAAGTGATTCAGATTACCTAGGTGTGGAAAACTTATGGGACGATTTCAAGTGATTCAGATTACCTAGGTGTGGAAAACTTATGGGACGATTTCAAGTGATTCAGATTACCTAGGTGTGGAAAACTTATGGACGATTTCAAGTGATTCAGATTACCTAGGTGTGGAAAACTTATGGGACGATTTCAAGTGATTCAGATTACCTAGGTGGAAAACTTATGGGACGATTTCAAGTGATTCAGATTACCTAGGTGTGGAAAACTTATGGGACGATTTCAAGTGATTCAGATTACCTAGGTGTGGAAAACTTATGGGACGATTTCAAGTGATTCAGATTACCTAGGTGTGGAAAACTTATGGGACGATTTCAAGTGATTCAGATTACCTAGGTGTTATAGCTTCTTTGAAACTTCAAATTTGTTTCACAATTCTTTCGATGAATATGTATTGTTTATGTGTTCTTTAAACTATAACTGTATGGGCGCGCGTCTTTTGCGTAGATTTTCACGCAATGAATCACGCGGGATGAATAATCGACGCCATAACTGGGAAAACATTAAATGAACACCTTAATGAAATTTTAATTCTTTCAGATAAAGAAAAAAAAAACTAACCTTAACTCTTATTCAGGCATTACTCATATTTTCAGCAATAAGATTAATAATAAAAGAAAGGACAATAGAAAAAAATTGCAATCACAAATTAATAAATGTTACGTTATCAAAAAATAACGCAAGATGTCATAATCATTCAGCTGACCCTCAACGCCGACACTCAACGTCATTGCATCTTGAAAATCGATAAAACAGATGGTTGACATGTGAAGGGTCTCTAACGTTCATGCTGAGAAATCTTTTTTAGATAGGAAAGGCTTTTCTTTTACACTCCAATAATCGAAGAGACCTCTCATAGAAATAGCTAATGGCACATTACGAAAATGGCACATACAAGTTCGAGAAACTAAAACCTAGGGCTGAGTATGTTTTACATGCATTTTTATTAGCGTTAATTTCGACTCTCTTCGTATCTATGTGTCATTTGCCTTTAGAACTTCAACGATCATAGTTCTACAATTTTTTTTCTGTTTTTACTGATTTAAATGTTTTCTTTCACTAATCTTCTTTTATATTGCTATACCAGGTCCACCATATGTTTTCTCAAACTTATCAAGTAGGTTTCTCACTGAGTTCCCTTGATCCCCTTGCATTAAATGTACCATATGATAGTTCAATTATCGAAGCCTTACGTCTTCTGTATATTTAGCCAAATTTCAACTGCTTCCTGATTGTAGTACCTTCCTTCCTTCCTTCCTTCTTTTCCCTCCTTCCTTCCTTCCTTCCTTCCTTCCTTCCTTCCTTCCTTCCTTCCTTCCTTCTTTCTTTTCCCTCCTTCCTTCATTCATTCATTCGGCCTCAAAAACTAAGACCATAAAGTCAGGCCGCAGATAATTGTGAATTTCTTCTTAACCTTTTCAGTGGTTGCATAAAAGACACGGATACACAGGATTGGCCTTCTCTGTCACCTCAAGACTAGGGATACCAGTTTACAATGCCATTTATCTCATGAATGAGGGAGAAAAATAGCTTTATACGTTTCCCAGTCTTATCTTTGAAAGTGAATAATGAAAAAACTCGGTCGTTATTCTGAGATGTTATCTATTACACAACACGGATAGCCAATTTCTTTTTGATTCATACTATTTAACCGCCCCCCCCCCAAAAAAAAAACGTCATCGTCTCTAATGCTTACGGCTATGTGATGTTAAAACACCGGTTCCCGTACGATCACCAAAGTGAAGCAACGTCGAGCCTCGTTAGTAAATAGATAGGTGATCGTTTGGAAATACCAGGTGCTGTAAGCTCGGATGGTAAAATGTATAATGGTCCGGAATTGTTAATCGGAGTACTGATTTCCAATTCCAGTTGGGTTTGTTACAGTTACTTACGCACAAATGACCTCGGGAAAGGTATGAATCCATCTATTTCTCTCCCAGTTATATGTTAATTAGTAACACTTGTATCTCTATCATCACCCAAAAATTGGTAATTCTAAGCGGTCACCTGTACGAGTTAGCTCCTCCTTAGTTCCTTAATCCTTCACCAGGGGACTCTCTCTCCTTGCTATAAATACTAGGTGACTTTTTGCTTCGATCTCTCTTTTTCCCTCAGGCCTTGGACCGTATCCACCTCGCGTGGAGGTGAGGTAATTCTTTCTCTTCTTTCTTCATTTCAGCTAATATCAATACGTGAGCTCTCACCAATACAGCGTTTCCCAAATCCTGGGAACGCGCTAAGAACAATACCAATACACGTACGTACGAATACTCACCACAATACACACACATAATATTCACCACGCAAACTCAATGTAACTGTCCATGTGCTTGTAACTTTTTGTTAATACATATATTTGTTTATATATAATTATCGGTCTTGTTTGTTTTATTTTTTTGTCTTCTTTGGACTTAATTAAAGTCAAACATTCTCAGGTAGCTGGACCGGCTAGCAGGAAAGTTTAACCCACGTGTGTTCTTTACATCTTCAACCCATGCTCCACTACACACCCATCTAGGTACTGGACGAGCCTCGACGTTGTTGGAACATAAGCTTGCTATCCATTTTACTTATGCGGTGCAATTGTAAATGATAGAAAATTGGCGTTAAATGATTTTGCCCTCTTTTTTTGAAAACCAGCATGGCGTTTCCTAGTTTTTTACCTAGTGAGGTATACGAAAATATTTATCTGACGAAGCATGTCTGACAGTCGTATAATTTCGACTGTTAAAAGCATATATTCTTTTCTCTAGTCATTCCTTTTGGTAGGTGAGTTCTATTTTCATGTTGTTCCCATTTTAAGCGAACTACTGCATTTAATACGAAGCGATACAATTTTCTGATTCTGCAACGGAACATAGGATCTTCGTTATTATAATGTTTTAAGAATTTCAAATATTTCTTTAATAGCCCATGTTTTACATAGTTAATCCTAACTTTTTTCTTAATTATTACACCACTGAAAGGCCCATAGGCTACTCAAGTTTGAGCAGTGTTTCTCAACGGAGCAAATAAAAACATCACGGTACACTTAACAAAATTGTAAAGGGTATGCATTTAAATGTTATGAAATAAAACCATAGATTTTAAATAAAAAATACACACAGAAATATGAACTTACTTTATTTCAATGTTTCTATTCAAATATTTGTGCAGCTAATCTAGTGTGAAACTTGTATGGTGGTTTTTCGCGATTTCTTTATTATGAGATCGAATGATGTTTGATCGATAAGTAGACCCTAATTTTTTCATTTTGCTTCTTATTTTTTATGTTATTTAAGGTTGAGAAGCCCAATCCACATAAATAAGAATTAGAAAATGGCAATAAAACTGATAAATCCTTTGTAGCTAATGTGGGATATTCCTTTTGTATTGAAATCCAAAATGTATCAATGGGTACCATCAAAAGTTTTATTTTGAGCCTTCGATCACTAGAAATTTTGTCTAAATTTTCTTCATCATATAGCTGAAGTCCAATATTAGAAGGGGCATTCATGAAAGGATTTTGAATCTAACCATACATTTCTGTGCTGAATGACAGAAAATAATACTTATGTATAATACGTATATATGTATACCATGACAATATTTAGCGACATACTTAAGATGATGGCGCGGTACACTAGTGTGCCGCGGCACGTCTGTCCGGAATTACTGAGTTAGAGAGTTAGAAAAGAGGAGGATATAAAAAGCGTGGTTGAAGAGGATATGTAGCAAAGATATCAGTTAACGATAGACATGAAGAGGTTAAGATTGTAATGTTCGGGAAAGCATTCTCTTGAGATTCTGTCCCATGATGCAGCGTTTCTTGAGAAGAAGTTGTCAGAATAGAACTTCCTTCTTACTAACGCGATACAAAGGGAATGGGACGATTCGTTCCAATGTCCATGATATATCAGTTCTTAGATGTGAATGTCAAAGCTGGCGGGACCTCGATTAGAACATCTGCCATGGAAATAGCGATACAGTAGCGACAGCCTTGTGACTTTTCGTCTGTGGAATAGGGGTTGTAGATAAGAAAATAATTCATCCCTACAAGGCCGCGAAGATACCTCTGAACTCTGAGCTCAGTATCAGTAATCCAGTTTTGGTCTGATCTGGCTCTTGTAAATATAGGGCATATGAGGTGGAGTCAAATACTTAATGAAGAGGTATAAGTAACCGGCCATTTTTTCAATATCTTTATCGATGTTTCCTGTATATGATTTCCTCGAAATCTGGAGCGAATTTGAATCCAAATATGCGTTCAAGACAAGGGGGCTACTTGAGAAACCAACCTATCATGATAGATGAAATTTCAGGTTCTGATCAGTGATTGTCGAGCGTGATTCGTTTACGTTTGCGGTATCGAATGATACAATCAATTGTTTCTCCACATTGCGCCTCCAGAACTAAGACAATCATATGGACTTTACTTGCTTATTCTCAGCTACTGATGCAGCTGAATGCGCGTATTATTATTATTATTATTATTATTATTATTATTATTATTAATAATAATAATAATAATAATAATATATTTATCCTACTAAATGAAAATATTAACCTGCCAAATTGTCATCTTCTTAACTAGCCTAGACTAGGCTCTCATATGAATGTCATACATAGTGTCCAACTTAAAATAACTAAGCTGTCATCTATATAGGACGGTTTTCTCAGACCAAGGATTGGAAATGGCACCAAGTGAATGTATCCTTTAGATTTTAAAGAAGACAATCCTACAGTTCTTAGAGATTGGTGCAACAAAGTCATAGGCAAAGACTTTTACCAAATAACAAAAAAAAACTCATCAGCTGAAGACTTTCAACAGCAACAACAGCTGAAATGAGTAGCACACATAAATAGAAGGCGATAGAATATTAAATTCAAAATTCTGATGTTTTTCAAGGAAACTCCTATTAATACTAGAAAGAGTGATAACAATGGATTAGGAATTTTATTTTTCAGAAAACTGTTTTAAGAAAAAAAGATTTTATAAATTTCAACCGGCAGTAAAGATAACAATTCGGTCAAAGAATGCCAAATATTGCTTGTATGGTAAACGCTATTCTAGCCATTATTATTATTTGAAGTTAGAGTGAAAGTTTGAGTGAGGTTTGTTGAATCAACGCTGTCACTGATAAAATAAATAAACGTGTTGCCCATATGTATGATGTTTTTGTCAGTTAAGAAGAAAGCATTACAGCCTGGTCCAATAGCAGCAGCTGTTGATAAACTGAGACACTCATCAAATGATCTTTATACGATGGTCTCATTCTGGTATAACTGATGATTTGCACGGTAAAGAAAACGACATAAGCAGCGCTGAAATATCCAAGAATTGATTTTCCATAGTACCAAAAGAAACAACCCACCCGTACACATAAACATGCAGTAGCACACACACACACACATATCCTTATATATATATATATATATATTAATCGATTTCACCCCATGCAAGACAGTAAGGCCGCTAAAATGCAAGGGTATGAATTAGGAACAGAAACATTACTAATGATCGGGAGGAGAAAACATTAATCAGGAGGACAGAAGATAGCGACTAGTATTGCATTTAAAATTTTGCAGATTGAAGGATGGAGTAGGGAGGGAGATCTACAAGCGAGAAATGCGAGAAAAAATATTAGCATAGAACGTACGGCGACTGGTAGCCAGTTCAACTGTAAATTAACGAGATCTCGATGCGAGTCTAGTACTGCGCTTAAATTCAAAATGTCTGGGTCCCATGGCAAGGAGCTCATCTGAACAATTACCATAAAAGTATTTATACAAAAGGCACAAGGAGGTAACCTTACGGTGGTGGGAATGTGACCAAGGTCGAGCAGCCAATCAGGACTAATAGCCGATTCTTCTTTATCAAGTAGTACAAGGGGAACCGGACCATATGGGTCAGCAATACTCTAAACATGAATGAATGATAGACTCTGGAGAGAAAAAAATGTCTCGTGCAACTCGGTGAACCAAAATTCTTAGCAGTTGAGCTACTAATGGTTTCAATATAGTTTTTCCTCTTCATGCCAGTTAAGAACGTCAGCCAGAGAAGGCGCAAAGTATCACTTTCCTGGAGCTTAGCATTAGTCTGGCTTATGAAAAGCAGAGAGAAGGAGCAAGTGGATTTTATATTTAATTCGACATTATTTCTGTCCAATAAAAATAACGTTCATAATAATAATAATAATAACAATGATAATAAAAATAATATGTATATATCGTACAATTCGGCACATGCAGTCACGATGCTGAGTGAACATCTGAAATCCCACCTAATAAATAACTGAGTTAATAGCAATATTTTTCCGTACTTTTACAGAAAATAAAATAAAGCGGTATGTATCATCTAGCTCAAATAAAAACTTGGGTATTTTTTTGGTTCGCGTTTGCATCAGTTCCCACAGGAAGCAGAAATTAATCTGGGGGTCTAGCATATATATATATATATATATATATATATATATATATATATATGTGTGTGTGTATATATATATATATATATATATATATATATATATATATATATATATATATATATTATATTGTCATCCACAGACAGACTGTTTCGCTGTATCACAGCTCATCAGTGTGGTAGACGTCCGATTGCCTACATATATATATATATATATATATATATATATATATTATAAATTAATTGATTTAAAATATGTTTTTTCCGCTACACCGTTCTAACCATGTTTCAAAAATGGAAGCTAAAAGCCACGAATTTAATTTTGCAATTAAATTAAAGATATTAGTTCCATTTCACCCTCAAGCGAATTTTGGAGTAACTTTTAAAATTACTGGGTTTTAAA